CTTTTCTATGATCAAAGCTTTCGGACGGTGATGGTTTTTTATATAACCTTTAAAAGTCTTTATGTAACTGTCTACCATATACATCCACCGTAAATAAACTGGACCACAATTTCTAATATCTCTTACTAGATGAACAACTAAGTGAACCATAATGTCAAAGAATGATGGAGGGAAAAACATCTCTAAATGACACAAGATAACTGCAACTTCGTGTTTTAAGTGATCTAAGTTTCTCAGGATCAATAACTTTACTACATAGAGCATTGAAGAATAAGCACAATCTGCTTATAGTTACCCTTACATTTCTTGGTAAAATGCCATTGATAGCCACTGGTAGAAGTTTTTGCATCAAGACATGACAATCATGTGATTTCAAGCCAATTAATTTGTGATCGTTCTCTGACACAAGTTTCTTCACAATTGATGAGTACCATTGGGGAAGTTTGATACTCTACAAACAATCGAAAAACTTTTTTTTCTCTTTTTTAGAAAGAGAGTGGCATGCCGAGGGCAAATATATTTTATTTCCCACTTCTTTTGGGGTTGATTCCTATTGTATACTCATCACAACCATATATTCGTGGGATTTCTTAGTATATTTTGTTTTGTCTTTAATGTTGAGAAGTGTTCCAATCATACTATCACATACATTTTTCTTGACATGCACCACATCAAAACAATGTCTTACATCAAGATTAGACCACTATTGAAGACCAAAGAATATCGACCTCTTTTTCCAAATATTGTTCTTCACAAACTTTTTTTGTTTCTTTCTAAAGATGACCTTAATGTGTTGTTGTTTTCTATAAACTTCCTTCTCAGTTAAGGGCTTTAGAGCGATACCAAACTCCTGCTTTTCATCAAAAGCATTTCACAATCTACGATATGGATGGTTAGGTCTTAGAAATTTCCGATGTCCGAGATAAATTATCTTTTTCCATTTTGTAATTGGTGCTGACATGTATTAACTTCACATATAGGACACACTCTATCTCCCTTGACGTTGTATCTAGAAAAATTACCGTATGCAGAAAAGTTATTGATTGTGCAAAACAACATGGCACGCAACTTAAAGTTATCATTTGTATACATATCATAAACATTAACACCTTGCTTCCACAAAAGTCTTAAATATTCAATCATTGGCATTGCATAAACATCAATATCGTTGCTTGGTTGTTTTGGACCTAAAATCATCATCGATATCATCATATACTTGCGCTTCATGCACAACCGTGGAGATAGGTTGTAAAGTACGAGAAGAATAAGCATGACGTATGGTTAGTACTCATATTACCAAAAGGGTTCATTTCGTTGGTGGCAAGTCCAATCCTAAGGTTCCTCGGTTCAAGGGAAAAATCTAGATACAAAGAATCAAATTTCTTCTATTGCAATGAATCAGCTACATGGCAAATTTTTCCATCACACACTCTTTCATCTGCATACCATCTAGTATTATTTGCGTCACTAACATTAAAAAAAATATCTCGAACCTTGGAATTATCGGTAGGTACCACATCACCTTGACAAGAACACCCTTCCTAGTTACAATATCATCATCATCAACACCATTGTCCTTCTTCTTGTAGCGCGACTCCCCACACCTCGGACACTCCTTCAAGTTTTCAAAATCTTTCCTATATAATATGCAATCATTATAACATGTATGAATTTTGACGTAGTCCAAACCCATTGGACACAATATCTTCTTGGCCTCATAAGTATGATTCGACAACGTGTTACCTTCGAGGGACATTTCTTTCAACAATTCAAGCAATTAAGTGAAACATTTATCCTTTCATGCACCTCTTTCCTTAAGATTAAATAGTCTTAACACGACAGATAATCTTGTAAGTTTTTTACATATCGGGTACAACGAATCTTCCATGTCTTTTTGCAAAGTATCTACCAATAATGTCTACTTGAAAATATCAACTATAATATCACGAATGATGTATTCTAGAATATCATTCATAACTTCATCATCTTCAACTGTAGGTGACAGAAGTCTCTTTTTTGTCGCTTTACCTTGCCATACTCATTTCGTGTAATTTTGGATAATTCAATCACAACTACGATGATTGAACATAACATCTCTATGATATTTTTTTTTCACATTAAAGTAGTTTTTTACAAGGATAATAAAAATTCTCATTATTGTCAGGAATGTTTTTTTCCAGCGAAATCAATAAATAATTTCGATCCATTTTCATACTCTACACTTAATTTATTGACTTTCATCCAACTACAATCCATAATCACATAAAGCTTCTGAAAAAACATAAAAACAATACACAACCATAATACACAAGAATAACAATAATGGAGAATAACAAGAACAACAGTAATGGACCAAAGCAACAACAAAAACAAGAACAACAATAATAACATACCGGAGAATAATGATGTTCTTTCGTTCGCTAGGGCTCTTTGGAGAATAAGTGTTATTTCATTAGGGCTCGAGAAGTGAATGATGTAGACATTGAGTGAATAAAAAATATAAATAATTTTTATCACAGTTATATTGAAAACTAAGGTAACATATGCGACGTAAAACTTTAAAAAGTAAAGGCGATTTTTTTGTTTCAAAAAGAATTAAAAAAATTAGAGATTATTTATCTCGGGTTTCCTAAAAACTGGGGTAACATATCCTACTTAAAATCTATGAAAACCAAAGGCTCATTTTCTGTTCCATATAAAATATAAAACCACAGTAGCTGAGAATCGAATCTCAAACACTGAGCATATTATTATGTTGCCTTTATAAAGAACTGAGGTAACATATTGATTTTTTTTAAACAAGGCGCTACCTTTACATACATCATCAGTTTTATATTGTACGTTATGAAAGTTTCTCATAAAAAGTGTTATTTATTGTAGTGAAGATATCAGATTGACAAATACATATGCAATCAGGTAGGTCGATAATATTCTATTGGAGAAGTGTACTAGGACATTCGATAATGGTCAACATTGGGACAAAATGATAACAAATCTCGCATAATCTATGAACACTGTCTTCAAAGGCATATGAATTTTACCAATAACCGCTTTGGCAAGAGCAGCCTATTTTAGGTCAGGATCACTGTTTGAGATCACACATTTAAAATGAAGCTCAATGTTATAATCAGAGTAGTTATTGAGTAAAACATCAATAAAATTCATTAAGGAGGAAGCTGCCAAAATTAACACACATATGGTAACAATGTTCGACCGTTGCAAAGGTCGGTTCATTGTAGACGAGGCAATGAACCACAATGATGGGATGCCAAGGGGATACCATTGATTTGAACTATATAGGGGTTGGTACGATTGCAGAAAGTTACAAGCCTTCCATATGCCTTGCTCCCATGTCATAGCAGCGTGTTCAAAGGCTCGGCAGGACCCTTCCAACTTACTATCTGCCATTTACAGAGTCATAAACTTATGCAATATGTACAATAATAACTTTCTGGTGGTAGTAAAGGAGGATTATTGGCCTTCATATCAAAGAGAGATAGTTTGGCACAATTAAAATATGCAAAGAAAGAACAAGAGTCGCCTTAACAACACGCATATTCGAACCAAAATGGATACGACAAACAAAATGATTCATGCCGTCAGCTCAGACGCAATCGTACAAATTGTCTCAATGTTGGATCAAGCTCTATTAATTGTTGTATATGTAATTCGTATCATGTAACAATTTTATTTGATTTTGAAAACAACGTTCATTTCATAAAGATCACAATATTCGATTACACCAATTTAAAGCTAAACAACAATTTAAACGACAAGACAAACAAATAAAAGAATTAAACAACATACATATACAATTAAACCATCAGGACAATTTCCTCACAAATATGCATCATAATACAACAATCAGTGTCATTTTTAATTGACTCACAAAAACAACTCTCTCCATTGTTGTACACCATAACAAGCCTTTGAATTCTTTTGATCTTTTCACCATATACAATGCCTATATCTAATCAGCGAATCAAGCTCCTCTAAAGATGCTCGAAAGTCTCTGTGTTTCAGAGTAAGATCTTCATCAGAGGCTTTACTGCTGAATAAATCAAATTGACATTTCTCTTGATAATATAGCACGATATTTTGAAGAAATATTGAAGGAGAAAATTAAAAGATGGGTGAAAAATACGGGGAGAGGATGCATGCATGCGCCATAGACAGTGACATGACATGAATGCACGCGCCATGCCTTGTGACACCTATGTTCAAAAAATGAGTGCATGCGCCATGCCCTATGATGCTTATGTTCAAGATATGAGTGGATGCGCCATGCCCTATGACGTTTATGTTCAAAATATGAGTGCATGCGCCATACCCCTTGGCTACTTCTCTTGTTGACAGTGTTTTTGTTTGAAATATAATTATTTTGATATTTAATATGAAAATATAGTTATTTTGGAATTTAATAATAAAAAATATGATTATTTTAAAATTTATTATTATTTGGAAAAAAAGATGATGCATTGACCTTGTAAATTTTGTTTACACCATGACTAATGGAGACCCTGTATCCCACCAAATTATACTAAAATTTTTAATTAATTATATGACATGAGAAAATGATATATTTTTATAAAATGACAGTGTAAAATATTTTTATATGTTTAATATATAACAATTAAACTTTTATTATTATTATTATTATTATTATTATTATTATTATTATTATTATTATTATTATTATTATTATTATTATTATTATTATTATTATTATTAAACCCTTCTTCTTCTTATTATTGTTATTATTTTTTTTTACGGGTTTCTAATTTATTTTAAACAACAATTAAACCCTTAAAATACACAGAAACCCTAAAATAAAAATAATAGCGGCTGTGCTCTTGTCAAGTTGGAGTTGCAGTGAGCTCCAGGCAGCCGCAGAAACAAATACACAAAAACTCCAAAAATCGATACCTAAACGGTGCGATTTACACCATACTTCAAAACCACAATCGAGTTTGCAGTGAAGTAAAACAAGAGATTCATCAATGGCGAAGAAGAGAAAAGAGAGGATTCTAAATCCCGAACCCTTCGTTCCCGAAGGCACTGAATATGCCAAATCCAAAAAATCCTCCAAAGCCGCTAGAAAGCACCAACAGGAAGGGGACCTCATTGATTCTCATATCAGTTCTAAGATTATGAAACAGGCTTTGATTCAGCTCAAGGAAGTCGAAGACGAAGATGAAACTAATGAGCAACATGTTACCAGAACTTCATTCAACAGACTTGAAGAAGAGCCTCGCAAGGTGGAGGAAGATAATAACGGTGATGATATTGATGATATTGATGAGTTTGCTGGGTTCGATGAAAATCAAAGCCATTTTGTGGGATTTGATGTGAGTCATATATCTCTCCCTTTGATTCTTATTTTTTATTTTTATTTTGTTTGGATGAGTTTGTGTTGTATTTTTATGCAAATGTGCTTCTTTTAGCGATTATGAGGAATTAGGTTTAGAACTTGAGATAAATACTATATGGGTAATCATCTTAATTAAGTTTGTGTTTGGTTATGCGGTGAAAATAATTTATTTTAAATGAATAGATTCTGTAAATATGATTTTAGTTAAAAGTGAGTTGACGGAAAATTGATTCATGTTTGGATAAACTTTCGTAGAAGTGAGTTAGAACAATAAATTTCAATGTAAACGTCACGTTACACTCAAAAGCTACAAATTCTACTTCAGGTAGAATCAATTCAGAGGGCATAATCAATTCTACTTTAGAAAAACCAAACACTTCAAAATCAATTCTAGATCATTACAATTGCTTTTGACTCATCCAAAAGCTAAACCAAACATACACTAATTGTGTGTATAGAATTGATTTTGTCTGAATTGAGTTTGATAGAATTGATTTTAATGGAATTGAATTTAGCATAATTGATTTATGTTTGAATACATTTATGTAAAAGTGAGTTGAACAAAAAATTTTAGTATATTAGCTTCAAGTAGAATCAATTCTGGAGACATAACCAATTCTACTTTAGAAGAACCAAACACCTCAAAATCACTCCAGAATCAAGTATACATCTCTAGAATTGCTTTTAACTCTTTCAAAAGCCAAACGAACATGCATTAAGTGTTTATTCCAGCATAAGTTATATATAAACTATTTTTGTAACAAAAGATAAAATATATACAAACTGTATTTATATAAGTTATAAGCTGTTTTCATGAGCTATGTTAGAGTTTAGAGAATAAGCTGAAAACAGTTTATGTACATGTCCTATGACGATGTTTACAAAAGCTCTCATAAACTGTCTCACAAATGTTCAAGCAAGTCAATCAACTCAAATAAGTAAATCCGAATAGGTGGTAACTGCATTGTGCATTTCCTTCTTACATGTTGAAACTAAAAAGTTGTTATAATGGTTATTTATATTTGCCAATGATTTTGTACTATATTGGGTTTATTTGCTTTTCACCCTTTTTGTTTATGATAGTGACTTTGATTATTCTGTCTTGATTATTGGAAATTCAGGAAATTAACGAGGATGACGAGAAACTGATGGATGCATTCTTATCCAAGGACCCAGGTTCCCAGACAACACTTGCAGATGTTTTGGTTAAAAGATTAAAAGCAAGTGATGCTACTGCTGTTTCAGGTAATAATATTAATCTCCATTTATTTTCCTTATCTTTGTTTTATTATATTGATTGTTTTCAGCTGATTTTTAATCTTTCTCGTCGTTTATGAATTGTTATGTGTGCAGAGAATCGACCAATGCCTAAATTGGACACATCTGTAATGGAGATCTACAAGGGGTATTTGCAGTTTCCATTTCAAATTCTTTTATGAACACGTAGATCAGATAAATGAATTCATTTCCATTAAGATACTTAGCTGATTACTTTGAAGTTTTCATATAAATGCATCACTCCTGGTGCCATCTTTATATTGCAGGGTTGCAACTCTTCTCAGCAGATATACAGTAGGCAAAATCCCCAAGGCATTTAAATTCATCCCCTCAATGAAAAATTGGGAGGAGATCTTGTATATTACTGAACCTGAAAATTGGTCACCAAATGCTTTGTATCAAGCCACTATTCTTTTTGCTTCGAATTTAAGTGCAAAAAGGGCTGAGCGTTACTACAGGCTTGTGTTGCTTCCAAGAGTGAGAGAAGATATAAAAAAGAACAAACGGCTGCATTTTGCTTTATATCAAACATTGAAAAGGTCATTGTACAAGCCTGCTGCTGTCTTTAAGGGAATACTGTTTCCACTATGCGAGGTACATTATTATTTCTAGGTTTTTAATTTTCATGTTTCTAACTAATCATCGGTCAGTATTTTATTCAGTTCTGTTTGTGATATGTTCTGTTAATCCTTCAGTTGATCATAAAGTTCTGCTATTCCATGATAGTACATCTTTAAGCTTCTGAACATCTTAAGGAGTAGCTTTCTGATGCTACAGTTTGTGCAATCTAAAATGGGATATTAATAGACTTATGTATTTGGATGTTGAGGAATTTGATGTGTTGCACATCATCTAGAGACTATAATGATACCCTTGTTTGTTTTTCTGTTATAATTATTGGAAAAAGATATAATAACATGGGTGTAATTGGAAAAATTAATTAAATGTATGAATTCTGTTTGGAAAAGATGAAATAACATTGGTGTAGAATGGTGAGTTAACTAGAAAAAGATGATTTTAGTCGTTTCATTGATGTGCCATGAATGATTATTGATTTGGCAGTAATGGTCATTGGTGCTTGGCAGTTGACAGGTAAAATGTGCCACTATGATTATAGGGAAAACATAATATTTTAATTTTAGGTTTGTCATATTGTTGTAAATCTCCCCTGTTTTTGCTTTTGTTGCCTTCTCTGTTTATTTTTGTTTTTGTTGCCTTTGTGTAGTTGCTTTTACAACTACATGCATATTTGCCATGGTACTATTTTTGTAAAATATATCCACCTTCACTTATGTATTGTAGAATGACAAATACATTTCATTTTATTTAAGAAATTAATAATTTATACGAGACACACCCCTTGCTGATTGCTGATAATTATGGTTTTTAATCTACCCATTGAAGGAGAACAAACTATTTTATTTTTATTAAATTTTACAAAAGGGTATTGCCTACGGGTGTCTTAAGGGCTTTGTTTAAGGATTTCAAATAATGTAATTATTCATTGAAAAGATAAGTATATATATTTCTGTAGTGTATTAACTTAAGTGCATGACTTCTCGTAAAAAAAATTCTTTTTAGGTTTGCTAAACTCTCAGAACACTCGTTAGCATTTACTTTTACCTAAACCGAAGTGGTCGAAACATAACCTAGAAATTTGCATAATCATTCCTTTTCCTTTCTGGTTTGACATTATTTTTCATGTACAGTCACGCACATGTACTCTAAGGGAGGCCGTCATTGTTGGAAGCATTATAGAAAAGTGTTCTATTCCTCCACTCCATTCAAGGTATGTTAACTTGATCAATCATAACTTCAATTATTATAAATTTGATGCAAGGAAGCAAGTGTTTGGTTATCTTTTGTAATATTGCCTTATTATCATTACCCAATAATATTACTTACATCATTTTTCATTGTCCATGTTGATTGTGCAATCTTTGATTTCCAGATTTTTTCCTCATAGCAACTTTAATAAACTGAAAATGGATTTTTTGAATTATTTTAAATAGGAAATACTCTCTTTTCTAGAACCATTTTGTTTCTTTATGTTATATTTTCCTCTATTTACCAACACTGAAGCAAATCAAAAAGATCACGAAAAGTCTATTTTGCTTGCATTTAACAGTTCCTGTTTGAAGTCGTTACTTAGCGTACACTTTTCATATAGTGATTGAAATTATAAGCTTTACTTAATTCTATTGAGCATGTCTATACTCACCGTAACATCTGGATGTTCATACAGTGTTGCGCTAATGAAGCTTGCAGGGATGGAATATTGTGGCACTACAAGGTATTCATTGTTGTAGACATTTGTTAGATAATAGTCGTAATACAATTTGAGTAATAGAATCGTTAGTGGGGCTTGAACCATGGCTATGATATCACGAAATAGGAATTCAAATATAAAAAATTGCTTAAAATAAATTTTCCGCGAAAAGAATCACACTTTCGCTGTTGTATATATGAAGATAGACTGATAGATTGCTGTTGACAATTTTTATTTTATGATAAAATAAAATGACAGCAACTAATAATCATAGTGCTTAAATACGGTTTGTTCTTGAAAACATGCCACTTTTGAAATTGGGTCTTATTAGACTTTTGAAAACGTTTTAAGTTTTCAACAGAGAAAAAGTACATGCTTTTAGAGACTAATAAAAGCAACACAATTCAAATATGCTCACAATACACTAATTTAGAGACTAGATGTTCACTAAATTAAACTTTAATAATATCATGTAATAGTTTATTGAGTATTTTGACTCTTAAATCTTAACAATCTTGATTGTGAGAAAAGAGGCTGATCACACTACAACACATTTTGATGAATTGATTAATATGTTGATTTGTCACTTTTGAAATAGAGCACTAGATGTTTTCTCAAAAACTCATTTTTCCCCTCAATATCTGATAGATGCTAATTGTGATAATAATTGCAGCTATTTCATCAAGCTTTTGCTGGAGAAGAAATATGCTTTGCCATATCGTGTGGTTGATGCAGTTGTTGCTCATTTCATGAGATTTGAAAATGAAACTAGGAAAATGCCTGTTATATGGCACCAATCACTTCTTGCATTTGTGCAGAGGTCAGTTTCACCATTTTATATTAATTTTTGTCCACATGTCTGTTTTTTTAAATTTCGATCGTGATTGATACAACATTAACTAGGAAAATGGAACTCCATTAATGGAGTTTAACGTTTTATTAAATTGTGGAAAACAAGAGAAAATTTGGATACGGAGAAACGATGTTGTCAATAGTGCGTTATAGTGGTAGTGGTGGAGCAGAGGGTCCCCTAGCCACTACAGAATATACAGTAATGGAGCAGTTTGTTATAGCTGCAGCTAGTGGCCATAGTAGCAGATATCACAGCCGTATAGTGCTGCATCTCAATGATATCAAAATATTAAAAAAAATCCCTTAAAATTTAAAGGATATGGCTTTTTGTGTGGATGTTTTAGGAAATTTTCAATTATAAAACACTGGAATGGCATTTAGGCTTCTTCTTCCCTCTTACCCTGTCCCACTTTTGATGTCACTTTTCTCCCTTTCACTGGTCAGTCACAGCTAGGGAATGGGATGGAGAAGAGAAAGGAATAATTGATTTGGACTGAGGTATTGTAATTTCATTCAGCCAAGTCAGTTCTTAACGAGAGTCGATTATCCCCACATATTTTTCTCCACTTTTTATCATTTCTGTAATCACACTGAGTTGGAGTGGTTGGAGGGAGGGACAACATTCAATGAAAATATTATTCTCTTACACGTTCATCATATTATTTGATTCAATATTCTATTAATCTTGCTTATAAAAAATATCCATTAATCTCATGTGGTTAAGCTGTCAAACGTTCTAGCAATGATTGATGTCCTTTTGACTTTTGAATATTAAGCCTTTTCTGATCAAGCCTTTTGTTTCAGGTACAAAAATGAACTGCAGAAAGAAGATAAGGATAATTTAAAGCTTCTTCTGGAAAAGCAAAATCATGCATTAGTAAGGGCACTAGATCTGACAGCCTATTATCTCGTTTTCTTTGGTGGTTGTGACTGATTTTAATTTTCCTACTACAGGTTACACCTGAAATAAGTAGAGAGCTAAACAACAGCCGTAACCGAGGTGAAAAGGAGGATGATCTCATGTCAATATATATCCTTTTCTTTAAATTTTTTGCCCTCCCTTTCCCTACTCTGCTTTCATAAGGTTAGATAGGAATGACATTGCATGTTCAGTGTGCCTTGAGTTAGGATCAGGGCATGCTTAAGGTGAAAAGTCAGAGCTGAATATAAGCATTAGTCTGATTCTACTTATTTAGAACCAACCATATTAATATTGTGAGAAAATATGTTGTTGCCTACTCTTTCCTTGACAATTCAATACCCGCTCCAGTATCTGTTATTAACAAGACTATTGAAGAGAATAGATTTGACATTCCAGATGTACCAATGGAGTTGGACTGATCATTAAAGTATGATGATTCTCATCTTGTCTCTAGATTTTTCTATTTCAGTGATACGGTTCTTTCTAGCATTGCATGTTATTCCAAGTATTGAAATGCCAGTTTTCTGTGGCAGGTTTTCCCCTTGGAGAATATGTTGTTTACACCCGCACATCATCTTCATACAGGAGTGTATCTCTCCGCAATTTTGTACTTGGATGCATCGACAAATTGCATTTTCATGCTTTATGCATTTTATAGTGAAGATTCAACAACTACTGTAACATTGTTCTACTGTTTTTTTTTTGGCGTGGATTAAATTGTAGAGGTGTATTTATTTCCTAGCGTGATGGACACTGACACACTGTATTACTTATTACTATAGCTCATTTTGCTTGTAACTTTTTAATATTTGTTAACTTTTTAATATTTGTTACGCAAAAACTCGATTATACTCTGAGACTTTTGTTTTTTCAATACTTTCTAAAGATCTAGTATAATTTTTTTTTTGAGCTTGAGAGATTCAAATGGGTGATATTGGGTTTGAACTAGAATACGATATTAGTCTTTGGTTATGTTATTTCAATTTCAGTTGTATTTTTTATATGTTTGGGCTGCTTTGTATTTATGATAGTAATTTGAATATATTAATAGTAAACAATAATTCGAAAAAAATGCTACTTGATTATATTTTTTAAATTTATTTTGGAATGCACCGAGTATATTTTAACATATTTGAGTAAATATAGAAAGGTGGATGGAAAAGTTCTGTTTTTATTTTCTATTTAAACTTTAAGTCATTAGACTTTGATGATAAAATTTTATAAAAAGCAAATAATTTTCTCAAGTAATTTTATAATTCAAGTTAAAAATACTATTACAATTTATTATTACAATTTAATCGTTTAAATTTTTTTGATCAGTCTAAATATTTCTTTACACTGAAAGTATCTTTATACTTTACACCAACAGTATCTTTAAACTCATAATTCTAACTTGAAATTTATAAATCTGTGAAACACAGACCCTTTTTTCAAATTTGTCCTGGCTAGTTTTTATTAGGCTGCAGCTGTCAGTGGCGGAGTCAGGATTGAATAAATGGAGGGTGAAATAATAAAATTTATTACAACAACCGAATATAGAGGCAGCGGCGAATTTCGTGTGTGGACACTGGACGCGTGTGTGGACACTGGACGCATTTGAAATGAGTTGCAATTGCATACAAAATTACAAAAAGGACTTGGTGTAAAATCACGTGATTATATGACAGTTGACTACTCGTTCAATTTTTTAGAATTTTTTTTATAGTATAATGAAATATTAGTTGAGCCGCAAAAACATGTGTAGATTAAAGTTTTATATTAAGCATTTTATATTAATGTAAGTACTCATGTACTCAATAGTAGTAAGTTTGATTTTATTAATGACCAAGATAGGTTCAATCTCATTAATCCTTTTTCTATTGTATGTTTTTTCATGTGTATTGAGAAACTTGTTTGTGGCATCAGTTTTCATTTTTCTTTGTCACAAGGATCTATGTAATTCAATTCATGTTTATTACTATAATATTTAAATCAAACTCTAGTGTTAACAAGAGTATTTTTTACAGTCCGACTGAAGTTGTGTATGTTGGAGTCGAATCCTGTTTAAATATATTGTCGAAATATTTTAGCTTTGTGATTAAGTTAGCATGTTGAATTGATTCTTACTTGTAAACCCAATTATTAAGTTAGCTTGTAGTCTAAGTTAGCTTATTAGTTTATAAATAAACAAGTTCTCTCATATTATTGAGAGAGGTTAATTGTTGGTATCTGCTTGTAATTTTTGAACCCTTATTGAGTAAGTGAATAGTAAATCAATTTTAATCAATTCTTATTCTTATTTTTCCTTCTTCTCTATCTTTTGTAAAACATAATAAGATTTCGTGTTTATTTAAGAAACTCAATATTTTTCTCATATTTTGGCTTATTCTTGACGAGATTAATTCACAACAAACTGGTGCGGTGAGCGTGGAGAAGAAGATACCGTCAACAAAGTATGAGATTGAGAAATTCACCGGTGTGAATGATTTTAGTTTGTGGCGCTTGAAGATACAAACACTTCTTGTTCAATAGGGTTTGTTAGAAGCGTTGAAAGGATCTGAGAAGATGGACGTTGCTCTATCCGAGAAGGAGAAGACAACGATGGTCGAAAAAGCCCACAATGCCATTGTAAGCCTTGGTGATAAGGTTCTCTTCCAGGTTTCAAAGGAGAAAACTACAGCTGTGTGTACATGACAAAATTGTTGGTTAATCGTCTATACCTGAAGCAAGCCTTTTATTCATTCAAGACGAGTGAAGACAAAGCCTTGGCTGAGTAGTTGGATATGTTCAACAATTTGATTCTTGATCTTGAAAATATCGAGGTCAATATTGATGATGAAGATCAAACATTGTTGTTGTTGTGCTCTTTACCTAAGTCTCATGTTCACTTCAAAGACGCTCTCTTGTATGGAAGAAAGTTGTTAACCTTTGAAGATGTTTAGTCTATCTTGTACTCTAAGGATTTGAACAAACGAAAGGAGCACAAATCATCTTTTGTTGGTGAAGGTTTGTCTGTTAAGAGGAAAGTCTTGAAGAAACATGGTAAGTTTGAGAAGAAGAAGGGTAAAGTTCTACATAATTCTTATGGTGGTAATGCTCATACTATTAAGTGTTATCATTGTAAGAAGGAGGGTCATACAAGAAAAGTATGCCCTGAGCGACTGAACAATCATGGTAGAAAGGATAATGATAATGCAACCATTGTGTAAGATGGTTATGAATCATTTGATGTCCTGGTGGTTTAAAGCAGTGACTTTAGCAAGAAGTGGATTATGGATTCAGGGTGTACTTGACACATGAATCTAAACAAAGACGTGTTTGAGAAATTGTGTGATCAAGATGGTGGATCAGTTCTACTGGGAAATAACAGAGCTTGCAAAATTACAGGTATTATGTAACACCCATTTTTAATTATTTGGTTTTCCGTATTATTTGTTTTTCGGTGCATTGTGTGTGGAAATTGTTTGAGGAATTGAGTTCCATAATATTAGAAAAATATGATTAATAATAATAATAATATGATGATTAATAGTGTTGATACTATTATTATTAATATTATTGTTATTATTGTTATATTTAAAAATATTATTGGAAGAGTTTGGAAATTAAAGTAATGGTGGAAATAATATTAATTTGGAATATTAATATAAAATTGGATTATTTGGAAATTAAAGTGAGGATTTATTATTAAAAAGAATAAGATTATTATATATGGAATTAAGAAATGTGGAGAATATTATTATTGGGAATTAATTGGAATAATAGAAATGAGAGTTTTATGTTTGGGATTAAGGGCAAAAGTGGGAAAAGGGAAAAAAAAGAGTGAAGGAAGAACACGGAAAGGGAAGAGCACGATCAAAGTGAGCAAGCCAAGAGCAAGCTGAACAAGAAGGAGCTTGATTGAGAGATTCTCGTGTGGGATTGTGGAGCTTCGTCAACATCAGAACTTCAATTGAGGTAATGGGGGGGAGGAATTTAACGGTTAAATGGTTTTACATGAGAATTGGTAGAAAAGGGGAAAATCCCTAATCCCCATAGATTATCGATAGTTTGATGTTGAATGCATGTTATTGTTGCTGTGATTATGCTGTTGGAATGTGTTAATTCGTTGCATATGGTTGTGAGAATTGTTTGAGTGCATGTGGGGTTTCCGGGAAAATTCGAAGTTGAGCCGGAAGTGGGTTATTTGAGCAGAGTTGATAATTTGTCGGGTAGAATCGAAAATAGACCCCGTAACTAAGTTGTAGTATGTTGTTTGGTTGCGAGTGGATGTTAGACTCGATTTAATCGGGTGGAATCGGTGATGGGTGTTGTTTCTACTGTGCAAAATTTTTCAAAGTACGTAGGTATTCGCTGGGCGAATGAGGGGGCGAGCCTTCGCCAGGCTTCGTCGGGAGAACTAGCCAGCGAGTGCTGGCAGAAGCTTCTGTCTGGCTTCGCCAAAAGTTTTGCCAGGCGAGTTCCAGCGAGTGTTCGCTGCGGGGCTTCGCCGGGCGAATGACCAAGGAGTGTTCGCCGCGGGGCTTCGCCAGGCGAATGTGCCAGCGAGCCCGACAACAGTTTGTGTTTCTACTGCTGTTCTGTTACCTTCCTTTGTGGTTTTGGACCCTTGTTGGTCATGTTTGACGATGGGCGTGATCGCGAGCCGTGGTGAGTGTATGTGTGGTATAGGATGTGAATTCCTGGATGCTCCCTTAAATGGAGGGATTGTGTCATTGTAAGTTATGATACCTATATGTGATGATATAAGGGTGCTGAGTGCGATCGGATTGATGTGCTGCGATGATAGCTGGGTGTTAAGAGTATGCTGAGGTGTGGGAGGGCCGTGTGACCGGCGTGTATCGCATTGGACATAATCGGTGGATTATGTGTTAAGTTTAGATAAGTATGGATGTGTATGTGATATGTATCACTATGTGCTATGTGTGGTGATGTGTTGTGAGATGGATGTGGATCCGTAGGATCAATACGCTTGTTATGCGTTGCATTTATACGCTGTGGTATGAGGATTGGATCAGTAGGATCGGTGCGTCTTGAGTGCGTTGTGGTGATATGTTGTGATGAGAGGATCCGTAGGATCGATACGCTTTATATGCGTCGTGTTTATGTGTTGTTGTGATGATTGGGTCAGTAGGACCGATATGCCTTAGGTGCATGATGTGTGGTATGTTGTGTGGTGATTTGATCTGTAGGATCGGTGCACTTTGTGTGCTTGTGTATGTATGCATATTATGATGCGATGGACCAGTGAGGTCGTGTGCACCGTGTGTGTGCTGTGTGTGAGATGTGAGGATCGGTACGCTTATTATGCGTTACATTTGTGTGCTATTATGTGATGTATTTGGGTCAGTAGGACCGACATGCCTTGTGTGCATTGTATGTGATAAGTTGTGTGGTGAATGGATCCGTGCGATCGACGCACTGTGTGTGCTTGTTATGT